TTTTTAATGATTTACAAATTTCCATTACCAAAATCAAAATTCCCTGACAATTCCCTGACATCGAAAAACATTCTAATTTCACTGACTTTTCCCTGAACCTGAGAACCCTGTTTAAACACTATGATAAATAAACGCTTGTAGAAGTTTCTGAATCAAGTTTTGTAGTCATCATATCTTTGTACAATTTTCTCTTGTTCTGCACATGAAATTTTATTCACAATTTGTAAACATTGCAAAATCACATGCAAAATAAGATGCCTATACAACCGAATTATTGCTTACCTCAACAAATAACTTGGCACACTTGATGTTAGTAATGAGCGGTACAGAGAAATCAATGGCCATTCTTCTTGTTCTGTACCCACGCGTTATAAAGGATGTTTTCAGACAAGCATTACTCCTCAAAGGTAAGTTAATAAACAGGTCAATCTTGTTTTGTGAAAGGTAGTCAGAAATACTGTGTTCTTCAGGACCTTCTCCATTTCCTTCTTCTAAAGGCCAGTCTACTGGATTCACCTGTACAAACCAGGAATAAACTCTAAGTGTATCTTGAACAAGGATTATATACCATGGAAAGAAGTGAATTTGGAATTATAAAATGTAAAACACTCAATATACAATTCATTAAATCTCTATGAACAGTACCAGTTTGCAGTCAAATCGTTTTTTTCATCACAGTTTCATCCCATGTGTATGTAGGCATACAGGAAGCTAAAACAATGGTTGTCAATCACAGCAAATGTAGTACCAACCTTAATGCCATGTGCTGTATAAAAGTCAGCTGTACCAACACTTGCATACAGAATAAAACCAAGATCTTTCAGTGTCCTGACACTATGAAGCAATTCATTTTTAGCCTGAAAGATAGGAAGAGAAGACAATTGCTACTAATTGTACTTTCTAAAATATTTAAGATACTACGCGCGCTGTGATTGGTCGAAAAGCATGTTTGATTACAGTATCAAAAGCGTGTCAAAAATTTCTTTTTTCCTGCCGTTTGCATTTGTTGTTGTTATCATTCATTTTCAAGAACAATGAACGAAGAAATGCCTATTTACGATGTCCTCTGGGATGATATCCCAGTAGAAGAGCTACATGTATCAAACGTTTTAGAAGCTACAGAAGCTGCAGAAGCTACTTCGAGATTTGCAGAGGTAGACGACAGC